GATCAGTGGTTCAAGTGTTACACACAAGATCAGTGGTTCAAGTGTTACACACAGGATCAGTGGTTCAAGTGTTACACACAAGATCAACAGAGATGCCTCGGAAACCCTCCACAGGGTCCCTATGAGTTGGACTCGTTTCAACGACGCTTAACAACAACAAATGTTAGTTATTGCTGTCTTGGGTATTGCAAATGTCTCAGTAAACCCTCAAGGCAATGACAATACTAATTCACTCCATGGACAATCACACAGTAGGACTGCCCCAAAGAAAAGGGTTTAATTTTGTGTGTATGATTGCACAGCCTCTGCCAGGAAACTGAGATTCGGGTCTGCCTTTTTGTCTTGTATTTATCTGGTTTGGAACTTATGGTTGGTTTACTGTGTTTAAATCTCTTGACCAGCCCATACTTTGCAATTAGCATGATCCTCCCAGGCATGTGGGCACAGCACCAGGGGTTAGGAAACACATGAGAATGGCCACAAAAGGACCCATATCATTTCAGCATCCAGTCCTAGGGACAGGCTGTCTACCTTGAAATCTTTGATTCTGCCATATGCTAGTAACATGGTCTTAGCGAAATTGCTTAACCTCTGGGCCTCAGTTTCTTCATCTCTAAAATGGGCATTACTGATATACCTATGAAGAGAATATAATGTTTGGTAAAGTAGAGGGTCAAAGAAAATGAGGGAAGACCTCCATGAGATTCATTGATACAACAGCCCCTATGATAGACTCAAACATACCAGGCATCATGAAGATAGGATTGGCAATGTTCTGTTCTGTTACCCATAAGCCATGAGTCAGAGACGAAAGTAACTAACAACAGCAGTACCTGTTTCATAGGGTTGTTGAGAGAATGAGACTGAAATAAGGTATGCGAGGTGCTTAGACGAATACCTGAGAAAGAGTGAGGGCTTCACGAACGTTGTTGTTAAGTGCTATCGAGTCAGTTCTGGGTCATAGAGACCCTGTATTGGGTTTCCAAGGAGCAGCTGGTGGGTTTGAACCACCAACCTTGTAGTCTAGCGCCACACCAGGATTCCATGTTGTTGTTGTTGTTAAGTGCCGTCGAGTCGGTTCCGACCCATAGCGACCCTGTACAGGGTTTCCGAGGGTGTAAATCTTTACGGGAGTAGAAAGCCTCATCTTTCTCCCGCGGTGCAGCTGGTAGTTTCGAACCGCTGACCTTAAGGTTCGCAGCCCGATTTGTAACCACTACGCTACCAGAGCTCCTTCAGGATTCCATGAATAGTAGCCATATCTATTCATTTCCGGTCTCTTTAATTCTCACAATGATCTGAGAGGTATTCTTATCTCTAGCTCAGGAATCTAAGGTGTAGAGAAGTCATAAAGCTTTCCTAAGGTCACACAGCTGCTTAGGGGGCAAAGCCAGGACTCAAATCAGGCTTACA